GCCGCGGGGGCCGTTCAAAGTACTGGGAGAAGCCTCCGGAGCTGAAGGCGGCGCCCGGGGGGGGCTCGGCGTGGTTGCTGGTGGCGCCGACGGCCGTGACCCACGGACACGACGCCGGAAAGGTCGACATGGTGACCTTGGTGTTTGTGCCGTCCTTGGTGCGGCAGTTGCCCACGCGCCCGCCGGCCGAGCCGCCGTCCCCGGACGAGTGGATGACGGAGGTGCCGCGCCCGGTCAGCAGGCCGAGCATGCTGCAGACGCGCTCCGCGTACGGCCGGGGGACGGACAGCTCGTCGTCGCCGTACGACACGGACAGCACGTGCGGCACCTGGCCGTCCGGCTTGTCGAGCAGGGCCTGGAGGAACTCGAGGTACGGCTCGTTGTCGGACCGGTCCCCCGTCACGGGCCTGCCGTCGTCGCCAATCTTGTCGCCCCGGCCGCCCGTCGCATAGTACGTCACCTGGGACGGGAACCCGAGGCCCATGGCGTACTCGAGGTCGAGCTGGGCCTCGCCGCCGGCCGTCGAGCGGTTCTGGGGGTCGCTGCCGCCGTTGACCAGCTCCACCCCGAAGTCGTAGCCGGCGAGCTCGGGGGCCTCGGCCTCGAGAAAGTCACGCACGTCCGCGTGGTTGGAGTGCTCCTCCAGGTAGCCGCTCACTCCGAGGCGGACCTTGGACGAGTTGCCGGGGGCCCTGTAGCGGATGTTGTACAGCCGGCCGAGACACTTGGGCGTCACGGTGCCCGAGCAGGCAGCCCCGGCGCGTCGGTCGCGCGCCGCCCGGACGGGCCTGGGCGTCATGGGCTCCCGCAGCGGCGTCATGAAGTTGGAGACGGGGTCGATGAAGCTGATGGCGCCCGACAGGTGTGAGGGCACCGAGTACTGCCGGGCTCTGACGACGGACACCTTGCCGTCGAACGAGTAGCGCTGGAGCCGGGTGCCGAGCAGGCTCTCGGCGCTCCTGATGGTCGCGGCGACGTGGATCCAGTCGTCCTTGGCCACGGCGTCGTGAATGCCGTTTTCATGGAGCCAGTCGAGGACGGCGGCGGCATCTCTCTGGTCGGGCGCCCGCAGCGTACGGACCTCGTCCAGGGAGAGATGGCGGGAGCCGGGGGCAAACTTTGAGGCCAGTTGGCGAATCTCTGGCTGTCTCAAGGCAATCGACAGTCTGAAGGGTTGGTCCGGGTCCGGTGAAGCGTCCATCCGAGCCCATCCTCCGGGCAGCTGGGGGACATGCTCGTGTTGGACGAGGTTGGCGGCGGCACTTGTACCGCTCAACAGCCCGGCCAGGACTACCAGTCGCCAAGACATTTTGCAAAGCGGCAGTTGATGTTATTATTAAAGAGCCCGGTGTCTTTTTTTTTTTTTTTTTTTTTTTTTTAGAAGAACCATACAGCTTGGGGTAAAAAATAACCATGTTCGCGAGCACTCTTAAATACACTTGCGATTTCGCCATGGCGATGCTCGGCCGCATTGACTTCCAACGTCACCTTCTTCTTTTGGCGGCCGGGCGTTTGCCCTTATCATTTGCTGAGCGGAATCATCAATGACAGCATGCGCGTGTTGATTGAGTGACGGGACTTGCCGTTGCACTAGCGGTGGCACTTGTGGGAAGCCCAACAGCAATTGAATAGGTTGTTCTGCCGACTCGTCTCTCTTTCTGCAAGACATGTACTGTTGCAAGAGGTTGTGCTCCATTGCATCATCCACATCCGGCAGGTGCCGAGACCAACTCCGGTTTGCTCAAACACTTGGCCCGGGGTCGACGCTCAACTGTAGCTGCCCTCGAAGGGACATCTGGACGGTAGCGCCGAAGAACAGGACCGGTGCCCACAGTCGGTCGTCTCCCCGGGAGAGA